CACCTTCTTAAACACGCGAGGCCACACCATCACACCGCTGCCCTATCACCCATGATGCGTTAAAACAGGAAGGAAACACATAATTCATGAATACCCGCGCCTGATGATGCGGGCAGCGAAGCGAGATCAAGCAAGGCGTGACCGCCTCGACAGCCATTGCCACCGCGCCGTCGTCCAGATATTCGTCGTCATCGCTCGCGCCATCTCCGAACCGGCCGCCCGTGCAAGGGGCTGCCACAAAAGCGGGCATATATGAAAGTTTGAGGAAATCAAATGGTGAGAACCGAATAGTGAAACAGACAGAATTGGAATGTGAGCGGATGTGCAGCTGATCAAAGTAAGGTCAACGACGGCATTGGAAACCACTGGGTGAGGGTCCAGGTGGGGTGCCTGCAGGGTATTCATCGGTAGCATGGGTATAGACATGAAAGAGATTGCGACGACAAACCCAAAGTAGATTATGTGACCGCTGCATATGTACACCATGAAAAAAAAGTGCGAGTGTTTGCTAGACTGTAATTTTAAAATCCCAATTAGTGCTCTGGGGTGGCGAGCACGGCGAGAAACCTCATCAGATATGCATAGCAATCCCACACAGGCGAAGCCTGGACATGCCTAACAGATGAGTGGCACCCAGGCTTGCATGCACCGTACCTCGATTGGACAGGTAGGGGCACGCGTACTGGGCGAGATGCCAATCTTGCCAAACGCCTCCGCGTCAAAGTCGAGAGGCAGGGCTGCAGCGTCTGGTTCTCTCAAGTCACTCGTACGAAGAAGTTCTGGAACAACCTCTTGAGTTTTGAGAGGGGCTGCGGCGGGCAAGTGAAAAGGAGGTGCCACGACGAAAAGGCCGGCGGAAAAATTGGTTAGGGATAAGATGTGTGTAATAATATTGTTAGGAAGACTAGTTTATGGGGTGTCGTAGAATCTCGCGAGAGCTGCGCAATCGTCTCCCAAAAACACAAGCTGCTCCGGAGATAGTGTGGACGTATCATTTCGGATAAGGAGAACAAGGCGTGCGCATGAGAGGGCTTGCTTAGATTGGAGAAGCACAGAAAAAAAAAGGACCACGCCCGACAACATGTTTCAAAGCGCGCTGAAGCATACAGCCGTAGCGTTCATTTTGAAGACACACCTCGTTTTCGTTTTTTTCGTATGTCTTGACAGCCAGGAGTTTCTTCAAGGTTTCAGGGGAGAGTATTCCGCCAACCCCGTGGTCAATGGAGGCGTGATATACATCAAGATGCGCCTTACGCGAGCGCAATCACTGTGCATGCATATCGGCGGGAAACGTCGTGGGCGTGCCGAAAATTGTTCTATATTTCTTAGACGTAAGTTTATCGTGAAACTTTTGAGCTAGAACGCTGGCCTGATTCACGATGGCACACTATCAACCCATGCACCCCGGATACAGTCAAGACTGCCACCGAAGCGAACATAGTAAATTTGCCTTCCACGAAGTCGCGAATCGTGGCATGCATCTCCCCTCGCCCATCCCTCTATTGTACGCATAGCTAGCTCTCGAAAAGGAACTCAAGGTGGCACGGAACGAGCCGATAGCTACGTAAACTCAAGGTCAGGTCGAGGTCCAACCTCGAGTTTTGGTGTACGAAATGACGTCAAAGTATTAATATTACTGAAATGGGGGTTCGGCACCGAGTTTCTCGGTATTCGCCATCCAGTTAAACCTAGGACCGCCTGAATTGCTCAAGAGCGGATCTCAGCCTCTGTGCAGGCCTACCTCGTGGCAGGCTTACCGCGGTCACGCCAGCCGCACTCAAATGTCCAAGGTTACTCACCTCCTCAGATAAACAAGGGTCTCATGCCCCCCCCAGATCCTCCAAGTGCCAGACGGGTCCAGGGCATCCCAGCCTCCCGACTCATGGGCCTCAAGGTGCAGCTCGAGCGTACAGCCGACAAACTCCATCATGTCCTGTGTGCGGGAACAAACGAGACGAGAGGATCGACAGGAGCAGGTTGCTAAATAGGGGGCAACGTCACATTATCACTTGCGTAGATACGCATGAGCTTCCCCTCTCCGCAGGCTGACGACCTCTCGTCCGCCCCCACCAAACTGCACAACCCAGGTGTGGTTGCTGCTAGCTAGCTGTTGGTGCTCGTGCTGCTCTGTCCCGTGTACGATACCCAACGCGCGACAGGACCCACCCATGCTCCCTCCGCTTGGGCACTACACCAGTACATACTCACGTCGCACTACGTGAGAGTCTCGGTATCTTATGCCATCAGCCCGCGGCCACGACCCTCATCAGTCCGCACGTAGGCTTTTAGAACACGAAGTCGACCACGGCAGCCCGACGGCCTTGTGCCACTGGGCACGCCAAGATTGCAGTGGTGCGCGAAATAATTCTGTGTTTTGAGCGGCGAGAAAACGAATGAACGACGATTCGAACGTACACATAGACAGAGGACGAGATATGTAGTCTCAACGAAGGAACCATTGAAAGCCTAGGTAGATACATCGGTATCTTGCGAACAGACGGATCGATGTATGTGGCGGGAACGTGCGTTTCATGGGTGCAGTATCACTGCAGCGATAAAGAAAAAGTAATCACTCTTCAAGGCAGACCAAGAGTAATCAGCCTGTCCGCACGCGTTCGGGAAGCGACTGGTGCACACGGCCAACGAGACAGGTCGTTCGCCCGATTCCAACGCAAAACACCACGCATTTTCTACAACTTGGTGTGCGACGCCCGATCAACTCTGCTGTATGTCCAGACTCAACTACGCGCTGAACAGACAAAGCTGCACAAGCTACCGTAATTCTGTTGGAGACAGAGGACACGATCACCGCAGCTGCCCCGTCAAGGATTAGAAATTATGTACACCGTCACGGTTTTCTGGTACGCCACGAAGACAGAAACAAACCAAGGACAACACTTACTCATGAAGGCCTCGTAGCCGAGATCCGCGGGCTCCCAGAACGCGCTCGTGCGCACTCGTGTTCTTGAGGTTCGATAATGGCGAAGCTCCAGCCGTAAAGCCTCATACCGCGCCTCCGGTTGCCCTGCCCCCCTGAACTGCGCCTCTCCCGGAGAATCGCCACGACCGATGATGAGCTGCCGCCGCCGCCTGGCGAAGGCGGCCTTGATCTGTGATGCACATTGTGGGCAAAATAACCGAGGAAGGGACATCAGGGAGATATTGTAAGACAGCGTGTTATGAAGTGAAACTGAAAGACGTTAGAGGACAAATATCATCATGGAAAAAAAAAACATATGGAGTGCAGCAAGCTGTGAAAGGTGTAGAAACAAGATGGTGAAACGACACGTACGACCGGACACGTACGACCGAAAAGTTGGTCAAATCGCCAAATCCCCTCTCTGACGATACGTTCGGAGGTAGCCGCGTTTTTTTCACGTGTTGGAGGTGGATATATTATCGGTTTCGGAGTTATTTGGAGATATTGTATATATCTGGAACGAGTGGGTTGTGACGATTTTTGGAGGCCGACCCTTGGCCGACCACATGACCATCAATTGAACATGCATAAATTCATTCATGCATGTAGTAGTGCCGATAAGACAATTGTCATGTGGTTTTCAACTCTATTACGCTCTCTTTTATCACAAGGGTGATGGCCAGGCAATTCCGGAAATTTAGGGGGGCCTGACAGCTAAGGGCAGGTTGCCTCCCGAGAGTACGCAGAGAGGGCTATTAAAATAACTCATTCAGTTCGTGGCACAGCTTGATCCAACGTCACGGCATATCACAGCTATTAAAATAGTGGAGACAGAAAATGACTGCTGTCTCGAGGCATCTCGCGCGTTGCACTGCAGGTCGAGGTTTACGCAATGAGTGTCAGGGCATGGGGTCGACTCATGCAAACAATAAAAATCGAACAGCGAAAGAGGGGGTCCCGGAGAATTGTTGGTGTGGTATACTCCAGTATACAGCACAGACTCGTCGGGGTGGCCGTTTGGTTTTTTTCTACTGCTTGTGCTGTTTTCGTCGGGAGAGCGGCAGATAGGTGCTACGGACGATGCAAGGTGCGATGGAGTCACACAACGCTAGTAACACCAATGCAGTACTGATATAGCACACTTGCTTCCCTGCCTCGGTAGGTGCTGCAGCTGTATGTGTGTCGTAGGTGTGCTCGCGACCAGCACCAGCTTTGGTAATTGTACAAGCTGTAGGGAGAAATTTATCTGCACCGCTGCTGCTGTGCTGCACACGAAATAATGCCAAGCAGCGTTGCCTCGATGTCGGGATCTCGACAAACCCTACAGCACTTACCATCTTCGGAAGCCTCGCGTCTTGAGAGCGCTCTCCCGGCGCTCGCCACTACATGTGCAATCTCGAGTTGAAGGAGGAGATCGTCGTGCCGCCCAGTTCTCCGTGGATCGAGACAAGGACGCTATTATAGCGCAAGCTGGCGCGCCCATGTTCGTAGCCCAAGCTGAAGGAGCCCCTGGGCTTGGCCGCTTGACCATCGCATCTCCATGGGCTTTGCATTGTTGGTCGTGCGTGTGTGTTGCATGGTAGTGGTGTGGCTTGGGCTGGCTGTTGTGTGTCGCACCCAAGATGCAGCTGCAGCGGATGCCGACGGGCCGGGGCTCAACTGATCGGAATTTGATGAAGGGGTATGTATGTACATGTCCCGGTCGCCCACAATAATTGCGCCGCTTCGCCAGAACTTCGCACCCCTGCTGTGCATGTCGATATGCATCATGATAATGGGACAAGAAGCACCACAACCACACCTACCTATCCCGCCGCACGCCCTTGCGCATTTTTCTTCATACGTCGCACCCGACAGGCAAAGAAAAACAATAATACTACTTATTTCGGAGTATCTCTACATGTATGCGCCCGTTCATAACGATCGAGGATGTGGCAGAGGATCCAACCGTACCTGATGGGCTTGTCTGTGGGCTGGGCATGGGGACCACTTGAGCACAGCAAAGAAGGAAACAAGAGATACCGGTGCCACGGTGGCTTCGTCGGGGGCGTCATACGAGGGGGGGGGTGTTTCGCCACAGCTTCGGCGCAAGCTCTGGATGGTTCGTGGGAAGAAGGAGATCAAGGTTCGTGAACTCTTTACTTTTGGGGTATGGCATTTGTGTCCACATCGCGTTTTCCACCACCACAAATTGTCACAAACAACCAAGTGACTATTTAACAATAGACATTGCGCAGTCCAGAAGGCATTTTGTCTGTGTTTCGGTCACCAGCAGGTGGTGGTTGTCCGAGGCGGGATGTAGCCACAACGGGCCGTCATGCTTTACTGCAAAAATCCAAAGCTTCCACACTGCATCTGCGCCCTTGATGCCTCGCGACACAAACTGGAGGGTACCGTCACAGCGTTTTCCAAGACATACGTTCATCCACCTGCAGTGTCGGAAGGTGGGGGAGTTCTATAATGTTTTCGGTTCTCACGCTCGATGTATCGCAATGTGGACTACTGAACCTCAAAACGTTCATCGCCCAACCTTGCCCTGACATCGAGCTCTTGTACTCTACATTCTGGTCTGTTGGCTACTTGTATATTGTATGCATAGATACTTCGGAGTACAGATCGACGGTGGTACCCATATCCCCCCCTCCCCCAACAAATAATGTCCTTCCCAATTTCGGCGAAAAACTGTCAACTTTTTGTGGTATCCCCCGGGGTGATTGTTTTTTCAAAAACAAAGTTGTCCCGCCCTATTATATGTACTCCCGGGGTAAAGTAAACATTATCAGCCTTTTTTTGTGAGACAGCCCCTCGGGGATTTGTTTTCGGGTGATTTTTTGCCACAAGTACTTATACTTACCAGATCACAACGTGTCAGAGCTGACGCGCCCAACCCTAAGTATTGTATTTTACCGTGTTTGGAAACGACGTTAACTGAAGGCAATACCGACGAATCGTAGTCGCTGGAGATGTCGCTTTGGTCGTCTTGCTCGCTCTCCTTCCTGCACCAGTCCCTGATGAGTTAGGCACGTAATGCCAACAAGCACCACACTCTCTCCTTGAAGCAAACGGGTCACGCTAAGCTAACCTGCTACCTCTTGGCCCCTTGCAAGGCCTGCTATCCTCCCAGGGTCCCAACATACACTTTGTGGGCAGTCTTCACCTGACAAGACCCCGCCCTATACACCACACAGGGCATGTTCGTATGGGGTAACCCCTGCAAGGTCTGACACCTTGCCGGGGCCCACATTTTCACCTTGTTTACACCATGACCCTGGCAGGGCATGTCCGACAACACTGATCAGGGTATCGGCCTGCACAAGGTCATGACCTTCGACCCCCCCAAGGAAAAGAGCACCTTATCAGGGTCCTCTCCCACACCTTGTGGCCACTACAGTAGCCACCCTCTACAGCCCCCCTACAGGGTGCCTACAGGGTTGAGCCCTCTGCCAAGGGGTCCCCAAAGTGACTCGAAACAAGCCTCACTATTATTGTGTTCCCCCCGGCGTGATCAACCCTCGAAGTTTTCACGGGAAAGTTCATCTCCTCCCCGCGTACAGCACCGTCGACCGCGGTACTCCCTCGCGCCCGACCACTGTTTTTTTTCAATATGCCATGCACCATAAAACCTACGGAGTATGACCATGATAAACAAACGTTGTGAATAGGAAGAGGACATCATAACGCAAACTGGAGACGTGTCAAATAAAAGAGCCCACATGCGCGTGACGACTGTTGTTTGAGAGCACACTGATCAGTTTGGGTCGGAAGGCCTGCTATCCTCCCAGGGTTCCAACATTGGATGGCAGGGCGACGCCCCTAAAAACCGTAATGGGGGGGGGGGATAGCTCCGAAGGTCTCCATTTTCAACCCTGCACTAACCCTGTCACCTTACCAAGGCCGAACATGACAGCAGGACGATGCCCCTCAACACCGTAGAGGGGGGGGTGTACTCATAGTCCTGCATGCCGTCGTCGTTAGACCATTGACCTCGCATCCCTACAAAGCCGGGACGGAGCACGCCGGGTTCTCACCGGACCAGGCTCTCACATCACCAAGCGCGAAGCGCCGTGAGGTATTTGGCGAGTCGCATGAAGGGTGAGCTACATCCTGCTAAGGGTGTTCGGCATCTTGTGCTTACTTCCTTGCGTACGGATGACAGCTGCGTATGACCTAATTTATTTCCTGGTGCTTTCACTTCCAGAGACAGTTGTAAGCACTGTGTAACTGCCTCGAGGATGCTTGACCATTTTAACACAACGTGGTGCGATCATCCCCCGTTGCGTGGAGTGAGGTTTCTTCACCCCGCACAACATGATTTACTCGACGACCATTATGGTTACCGCTAAAAAAAAAAAGAGGTAAAAAAAAAAACCGGTAACCTGGTTGCCGAGTTCACGAAGTGAATTGGCTTGTTTTACAACGTCGTTGCCAAGCGACGAAAACCCAATCCCGATGGCAAACACCGAGGGGGGGGGGCGTAGGGGGGGCCGTAGAGGGGGGGGGGGGGGGGGGGCCACCCATTTTTTTGTTGGGCGAAATTTTTTTACCCTTACCCCCCCCCAAAAGGGGGGGGGGGGGAAAAACAAAAAGGCCCCCTTTTTAAACCCGGGGGAAACCCTTCCCCTTTTTA